CAGCCCTCGGTCCCACCATCCAATTTGCTCTAAGAACCAGCATGATTCTATAGTTACTTTGGTGTACCGATCGAATTTTTGGATTAGTAGCTAGACTTGTTCACAATAACAATTATACATTAGCTTGTGGGGAAACGAAAATGAAAAACCAAATGTAACATGACACAATACGATACAATACGACACTTAGACCCTATTTGATTGCAACGAATTCCATGGAAAATGTCACATTCAAGGAAAATGAATTCCACTTTGGCCGTTTGATTGCAACGTGAAAATGAAAACTGAATTCTAAGGTACAACCACTTTAAGCTGCATTTTTTTTGTTTTTTATGGAAAACGAATTCCTATGACTTTGGTGCGTTTTTGTTTTTCAACTAATAAGGAATTAGAATTCATTTCCACATTTACCTTTTAAATGGACCCTTAAAAACAAAACATAAGAACGTTGTACAAAAAGTTTGGAGTTATCCTAAAGTTTTAATGTCTTAGAGTTTCCTTGAAACCTTTCTTGTCATTATTAACGGATGGAAACGTGAATAATGAGTCTTAGAATCCATAAATTTTAACACTGAACCCAACACGTTAATCACATGGTTGCCCAAGTAATCATTGGTGCACATCTCATAAATGACCAAAACTCATGATTCATGAATAACCAGAATAAGTGACATTTCACGAAGCACAAGTTACATCAAGAGAGGTAGAGCAGGTGATATACCAATAAAAGCAAATTCGATATCGAGGAAAACATTACTTCATGCGTCAAGGCTACGAGTTACTAGTAGATTAACACAAATTTGAAGAGGCCGACAACTGCAGAGGCGGACACAGAGAAATAAAGTGAAGGGTCGAACTTACAAAAAAGTTGGGAGAAATTTTACAATAGAAAATTTGCAACCAAAAAAATCATACCCCATATAATTTTGCATCCGAAAATTTACATGAAATATGTCTTTTTCGAATGTAAAATTTCGAAAATTTTTGATATCATATCCAATATAAATTTCCTAATAAAATAATGCAAATTACATTTAGAAATTTGTATCACAAAAATAATAAATGTTAATGAAAAAATTAATTTTTTAAAAAAATGCGAGTTAGACGCCTCTTTGTAAGCCGTACGTTAGACACATCTTTAACTATTTTCGATATCTGTTTGAACTATTCGATATGCCTATAATGTAGTCCTCGAGCGAGCTTTGAGATGATATAAGTGATTTGTAGATTCAACTAGTGTAGGATTGTTGGAGAATTTTTAAAGTTAGTATGTTATCGAAATTTTCGAAATGCTAATTTTAAACCG